AATGAACGAACACGAACATAGGTCTCGTTCGTTCATTTACGTTCATGAATGTTCGATTATGTTCGTTTATGTTCGTTTATGTCCGTTCATTTATGTTTAACCCAATCTTCTTAAATCAATTTTGGTAACCAATTTGTAAGTATCTTAAAAATATTAATTAATCTGATATTCTGATGACCAACTCCATAATTAACTCAATTTTATTTGGAGATTAAATCCAATATGTTAACCCGTGAGGCACCTCGCACCTATATTCATTTTCCCCATTTTTTCCCAAACCCTAGTGTTCACTAGAGAGTGGAGACGATCGGTGAAAGCTTCAAAACAAGTTATATTATAGTGCAATTTGAAGTTTTACAGGTATGTTTTCATCTCTTTCTCTATTTTATTTGGCTTAATAGTTGATATGTAAAGTTATTGCGGGTATATTCACATCTAAAACTCAAGAAAACATCATACTTCTTTCTAGAAATAGATGTGAAGATACATGTAACAATCGGGAAGTATATGAGCATCAGTAAAGAGAAAAATATATAGAACTTGCCAGAAAACAAAACAAAGGTTTCTATGCAATTTCTGAAAAAGAGTGTAATAGCGGAAGTAATGAGTTTTCCAGGAAGAACCCATTAATAAGTAGAAAATACACTTTGACAATGAACTTTTATTTTCATAGTTCTTGTGTGACCTTTAGTTGTGGAGTAGACTTTAGGTACGTTAAATTTTGAATGGTGGTTTAGCAATAATATCAATTACTATATGTAACATCGGAGGGATTTTGGATCTATGTTATTGCCTTGTAGTCAAATTTGTACCGTTCGAAATCTTCATGCTGTTAAATTTTTTACTCTGCCAATGGAAATGACCATTATTAACAAATCTCACTAAAGTCTAACATTGATGTCACAAAACTTTTAGTTGGCAAATTTATTAGAATAACGTAGTGGAAAATGATTGTTCATATGTAATCATGGACCACTAAGATAAATGTTATAGCGTTAAATTAAAGTCATGTGAATCATTTAATATCTTTAAAAGATCGATCGAAATATTTGATATCTTCAATCATTTCATCACTGCTAATCAGCTCTTACGCTATTTATCATTGTAGATTTGGTTGATTTGCATTGTCGACTATTTTTCATGAAAGAACAATGGAAGGTAGGGTCTCCAGCGTTTATGTTTGTGTTTATTTATGTTCGTGTTCGTTTATGTTCGTGTTCGTTTATATTCGCTTATTTATTAAATGAACGAACATGAACAAGCTATATTCCTTAATGAACGAACATGAACAAAAAAAAATTGTTCGTTTATGTTCGTGTTCGGTTATTTATTAAATGAACGAACATGAAGATACCTCTGTTCGTGTGCGTTCGGTTCATTTACAAGCCTATTGATTAGCAATGACTGCTTTCACTAATAATATTATTTGATTCCAATTTAAATGGTTTTTTATAACCATATAATATACATGTGTATTTCTTTATATTTTTTCCATATGTGATATATATTTATGATATATAGTCGAGGGACTCAACTCAAACTTGAAAATCAATCCACTAATTACTAAAAATTTTGAGTTATTAGAGTTATTATTTGAGTTATTCGAGTTGTATTTTACAACTCGGTTTGAACTTGAAATTTTTTTTAGTCTAGTAGAGTTTATGAAATTATAACTCGAAGTTAATTCGAATCGAATAAAAAAATCAATTTTTCAAATCGAGTTGAGTTTTGCACACCTCTACCCTTAGTATTATTATTAAGGTCTGCACACAATATTTTAAACATGAGATCTTAACAAAATGGTTAAGGAAAAAGTTGAAGTTAGTGAAAATGGGTTTACGGGGTTTCAAATAGCAGACCGCTAACGCTATATCAGTTGCTATTTTGCAGTCGTGCCACTGTCCAAAATCGATATTATTGAATTTAACGGTGGGTAGAAGAATCACGTCAATAGCGGTCCATCGCATTCGTAATTTAACGGGTAACGGTGAATAACACCGATAACATGACACTATTATTGTTTTTCAACTGTTATTGTAAAAAATAAAAAGAAAGTAAAAAAGTTGGAATTCTCAATAAAAAAAAAACGCAAGGCTCATTAAGCAAAAACAGAGAAAGTAAGAAATCAAAAAAGCTCTATAAACTTAAAAACCAAAAATAAAAAACATAGAGCACGTCCAGCAAGGCTGACCATTCACTAAGGCAAATATTAAACTGGTGAAGAAGTTGAGCAGCAACGGAACGGGTTTTGACTTCTATTTAAGAAGGTAAGAAATCAAGAAAAGCAAAAGTTTTTGATTAATTGTCTAGAAAAAAATCCCTAGGATCTAATTCTCTCCACCACCAAATATAGTGTAGTGGACGCTAGATGGAATCCTGCGAAAAACTAAAGGTTGAAAGTAAGGGAGACTTGGAACTTAGAGAGAGTTAGATATTTTATTTAATTATTATGGTTAGGTTTCAATTCAAAAAAAAACAAGATGTATATGTTTGGGCTATCCACTCCCATTTCCCATTTTTTTTTATTTTTTTTAAATAAATTCTGAAATATATTTTTAAGAGATATATTAATTTGTCGTCCTTCTCACATTTTATAATTTATAATTTAATCCTTACTTTAGAATATAAACTTTATTTATTTTTTTTAGTCCTAATTTTGTGTTCTTTAAGTTTATACTTTTATTTTAATTATATTTAAGTTAGTCCATTATAGCAAAATTGGTTTATATTGGCATATTTAGCGGTGTTTTTTGAAAAGAAGCCGGTAAATTTTTTGTTATCGCGGCATTTTTAGAACAAACGCGATAAAATAACAAATTTCGTGCCATTTTAAGAAAAAAAACGCCGCTAAATACTCATACTTTAGTGGCGTTTTCAAATAAATGTTGTTAAAGACTGTACTTTAGTGGCGTTTTCCGCTAAAGACTCGTACTTTAGTGGTGTTTTTGTACAAACGCCGCTAAATACTAGTTCTTTAGTGGCGGTTTTATACAAACGTCGCTAAAGACTCATACTTAAGTGGCATTTTTATACGAACGCCGCTAAAGACTCGTACCCTATAATTTGTTATTATTAGCATTCTTAAACGGAGTTGCTATATTTTATTTTAGTTGCGAAATTGGGATTATTGATGTCATGCTCTAGAGTTGATTTGATGAACTTTTACCTGTTAATGTCTTTGATCTTTTATTATTTTAGTTAGACTCATAATTCTTTTTCCCATCAAATTCATGATATTTACGGTTTTATGATTGATTTTTCTGTAGGCTGGTCTCATACAATAAACAAGGATTTATAACCTTATAAGAGAGACTGATAATATGGCTCATAGCGCCGCAACATGTGCTGAGAGGGCAACCAATGATATGTTGATCGGTCCAGATTGGGCTATGAACATTGAGCTATGCGACATTATAAACATGGATCCAGGGTATATCATTCTTTATATTTATGTATGTTGACCTTTTTGCTATACTTTTCTAATTTTCGTTCTCTAATGCATTCTATTACCTAGAAGTTCAAGTATTTCTACCTATGGTACCAATGAATTCTGCAATGTGGGTACTTTAAGTATTCTCAAGTTTGTAAGCATTGTTTGTCGAATCTCTTTTTAAATTGTTTTAGGCAAAATTTGTGACCCCATCCATCTTTGAATGGTATAATATATCTTTATATAGGACACTTCTATGTGATTTAGGTGTTCTTCAATAAGGAAAGAGGTGGAGTTCCAGTGGAGATTGCTTGGTTAACATGATTTACTCCGCCACTGATGTAGATAAGAAGTAGGCTTTCCAAATTTGGTGAAAAGGTAGCTTGGCTCTATAACTAGAGGCAAATTGTCATGACTTGATTTTTTCCAAGAGTTTTAAAGTGAAAGATGGTTGAGGGGAAAAATTGTATATTTCAAGTATGCAAGATTTATTTACCATGAGTGAGGAGTGGAACTTTCTGACAGACACTCAGTTAGAGTGTACACTTGACTCAATAGTTCAGGATGCTACAGCCTGACTATTCTGAATTTTCTTGGAAGTATATTGTTTGGTATATATATATAATTGGGTAATTTCTTGGGGTTGTACTTATCCCTTTTACTATGAAAGCATTGAAGGATTTGATGTCTGAATATGGGTGAAAAATGTTTGAAATAGAATAAAGATATGGTCTGATGATACGGAATACAAGGTGTACATTAGTTTCATCTATTTAATTGTCTGAAGTATGAATTTGTGTTCCACGGTTCCAATAGACCAGAAGCACCATCTGTTATGAAAGTTGCATGGTTCCGCATTCCCATGATTGGATTTAATTCATTGCTTGTTTTGTTATAACTTCATATCCTCTTATTCACACTCCATGATGCATGGTGGGCCCTAGCTTATTTGGTTGTTATTCTTTATTTTTCCAATGTAGGCAGGCTAAGGATGCGTTGAAAATCCTCAAGAAGCGGCTGGGCAGTAAAAATCCAAAAATCCTAGCCTCTTATTCACACTCCATTATGTATGGTACTAGGTTTCTGGTTGTAAATTTAATGTTATTGAACTTTTAACAATATGGTTTATTTGAGTTGTTATTCAATCTTCTGGTTTTGTAGCTGGAAGAAAGCTAGAATGCTTTGGGATGGTTTTAAAGTTAAATGAGGTAGGGTATTTATAATTGAAGCTTAAGGACTAATTTATAAATACCTTAAATTACAATGACTAAAATTGGATAATTTACCCTTACCTAATTTCAACCAAATTAGCTGTATTTTTTTCCTCACACTTTCGGTGCTTTTCACCGAAAATAGCCCACAATTGTTGAATGGCCAAACCTTTGCCTTTTTTCAACAGTAATATGCTCCCCATAGGGCAAAATGTTTGAACTCGTATCCATAGGTGACATCTTTGTTCTAGCATTGAAATCGTTGAGGAAATTGAATGAACCCCAGAGTAGGTTGAATGGCAAGGTCATATACATAACATAGTATCCTCAGAGGTGTTGTAGGATCATTGGAATACATGTCACAGTCTTGGGTTAATATTAAAGGAGAATTCGTCATGATCGTCGATACCCAAAGCTTCGATATACCAACAAAAACATGGAGAAACGTTAGGTCCAACAAAATGTAAAACAATGTTGGTTGGAAACAAGGTAAGATGAAGATGAATTATAGATACCAGAACATTTAGAGCACCGACCTTGTAATGGTGGGGTGATGTCTTACGTTTCTGCCTGGAAACATAGATGTGATTTGGCAAGAAATGTCCGGTGATGCCTTTGTTATGGCGGCTGTCTAGTAGAACCTGAATAACAGTAGGGTGATCTTGCAGAGTAAATCCAGATTTCCATTTATTAAAAGCTTCAAGTTTTTCATCATCGTTGATGTAAATTTCACCAACTTCTCCTCTGTTCATAACATTTTCAACTTTCGCCTTCATGTTTTCATACATCTCCTGCACATGCAATGCACCAAGTGAATTGAATTCTGTTTCTATTACATTGTTGAAGATTTCTAGAGATTATAAATTTGACTGGATCACGTAATATTATTTGAATATAATTAATATAAGATTCAATATTAAAAGGATAAATTTTAAAATTATATATATAAAAATCAGCTTTATTAGTTATGATTAAATTTATATCTAATTTAAACAAAAAATAAAAGGATAAATTATACTTTTATGAGAGAATATAATATTTTATTTTAATAGGGTAAATTACACCAGATACCACTGAGCTTTTAATTTTGTCAACTATAACATTGAACTTTAGTTATACATTCAATTATGTCACTCTGCCGTTAAAATAATAAGAAACGATGACATGGCTAACAGTTGTTGATGTGGTCTGTCACACTAAAACGATATCTTTTTAGTTCCTAAAACGACGTCATTTTTGACATTGGTGAATCGATTTTGACACCAAAATTTTAAACATTCTACTTTTGGGTAAAATAATAAATAATCCCTCGACTATATGATACTGCTTTATTAAGTCCCTCGATTATTAAATGTTACAAAATGATCCTCCGATTATAGAGTGTTGCTTTGTTGAGTCCCTTGACTATTAAAAGTTACAAAATGATTGTCTGATTATTCATCTTTGTAGAGGATAAACTACAAAGAAAAGAAGACGATGATAGCACTGAAAAGTCAGATACTACACAGATACATGTGGAAAAGGATGTTGAACAAGGAGATTCTTTTGGAGCAGAACCAACACATGATGAACAAGAACCAGAGAGTTCTAAAGCTCCAACAACTCGTCAATCAGATCGTGTGAGAAGACGTCCCAATTGGAACTCAGATTATGTTATAGAAGGAAATATTGCATACTGCTTTTTAACAGAGGACGATGAGCCATCAACATACCATGAGGCAATAAACAGCTCAGATGCTTCACTATGGATGATGGCGATGAAAGAAGAAATTGGAGCCCTTCATAAAATAATACATGGGACCTTGTGCGACTACCACATGGAAGGAAGCCAATTGGTAACAAATGGGTCTTCAAAATCAAGCGAAATGGTGACGATCAAGTTGAGAGGTATCGTGCAAGACTGGTGGTCAAAGAATATGCTCAAAAAGAAGGTACTGATTTCAATGAAATATTTTCTCCTGTGGTTCGACTAACAACAGTTCGAGTAATTTTGGCAATGTGTGCTATATTGAATTTACATCTAGAGCAGCTATATGTTAAAACAGCTTTTCTTCATGGAAATCTTGAAGAAGAGATTTACATGCTCCAGCCTGAAGGTTTTGAAGAAAAAGAAAATAAGAACTTGGTTTGCAGGTTAAACAAATCTCTATACGGTCTAAAGCAGGTGCCGAGGTGTTGGTATAAGAGATTTGATTCCTTCATTATATGCCTTGGATACAACAGACTTAACGCAGACCCTTGTGCTTATTTCAAGAGGTCTGGTGATAGCGATTTTGTTATATTGCTGTTGTATATGGATGACATGTTGGTTGCAAGACCCAACAAAGATCATATTGAAGAATTTAAGGCACAATTGGCTAGGGAATTTGAAATGAAGGACTTGGGATCAACAAACAAGATTCTAGGGATGCAAATTCACCGAGACGGAAGTAATAGGAAGATTTGGCTTTCACAAAAGAATTACTTGAAGAAGATCTTGTCAAGATTCAACATGCAAGATTGTAAGCCAATTTCTACCCCTCTTCCTATTAACTTCAAATTATCCTCCAGTATGAGTCCTAGCAGTGAAGAAGAGAGGATAGAGCTGTCTCGAGTACCGTATGCTCGGCAGTGGGAAGTTTAATGTTCGTTATGATATGCACAAGACCAGACATTGCACAAGTAGTGGAGTGGTTAGTCGGTACATGGCGAATCCAGGAAAAAGAGCATTGGAATACAGTAAAGAGGATCCTGAGATACATCAAAGGGACCTCAAATATTATATTATGTTACGGAGGATCAAACTTACTAATAAATGGGTATGTAGATTCTGACTATGCAGGGGATTTGGATAAAAACAAATCTATGACAGGATATGTGTTTAAAGTTGCTGGTGAAGCTGTAAGCTGGGTTTCAAAATTACAGTCAGTTGTGGCTACATCCACAACAGAGGCAGAATATGTAGCAGCTACACAAGCCAGTAAAGAAGCAATTTGGTTGAAGATGCTATTGGAGGAGCTTGGGCACATTCAAGAGTATGTCTCTCTGTTTTATGACAGTCAAAGCGCCTTGCATCTAACAAGGAATCCAACATTTCATTCAAGGACAAATCACATACGAGTTCAGTACCATTTCATTCGTGAAAAGGTGGAAGAAGGGACGGTATATATGTAGAAGATTCATACCAAAGACAACATAGTAGATTTCATGACAAAAGCAATCAATGGTGATAACTTTACTTGGTGTCGATCCACTTGTGGCCTGACAGAAACGTAAGAAACATGAAGGTACAAGGTAGAAAGAATGGTGTGAAGATATGATTATTCCAATCAAATCTTCAAGTGGGAGATTGTTGAAAAAAAAAGCAAAGGTTTGGCCAAGTGGCCAACTTGGCCATTCAACAATTGTGGGCTATTTTCGGTGGAAAAGCACCAAAAGTGTGAGGAAAAAAAATAAAGCTAATTTGGTTGAAATTAGGTAAGGGTAAATTACCCAATTTTAGTCATTGTAATTTAAGGTATTTATAAATTAGTCCTTAAGCTTCAACTATAAATACCCTAGCTCATTTAGCTTCAAAATCATCCCAAAGCATTCTAGCTTTCTTCCAATACTAGAGAATTTAGAGAGTTTCTTGAGAGTTGTTTTCTCCTTTTTATCAAGAGAGAATTATCATTGTTTTCTTCTTGGTAGATCGAGAGAAGTTATAATTCCTATTTTCTCATACTGAAATTCTTCTACCGTTGCCCGTGATTTTTACCCTATATTATTTAGGGGTTTTCCACTTAAATTTTGTGTCTCTTTTATCTTCATTTTTATTTTCTCAAATTATCAGTTGCGATTTTGCTCTATCCGATAGTCGTCTTCCGCAACAATTACTTCAGGATCGGAACCTTCTTCCATCGAAGAGAACTATTCAGTGATCCATCAGGTTATGTAGAAACGGGAATCTCTGAACTCAGCCCTGACTATGTTGTGAAAATCACATTAAATCCCTTGCCGTTTTGGCATTAGCACATACTGTAGCAAGCTGCAACTATGAGAATCAGACCAAATGGGGTTTCAAGGTGATATTTTTTATAAGGAAATGAACAAGACTGCATGAGTTGACTGAGTTATTAACATTACTTTTAATTATCAAAATCCAAATGCAGATGGGGTTTAGGTATAGATCATTAGTTGAGGACTTATTCACGGGTTATCGGATGCATAATGAAGGATGAAGGTCCATATTTTGCGACTCTGAACTTTTCTAGGGAATGCACCAATCAACCTTGTTGATGCACTATATAAATAGGAGCGATGGGGGTTAGGCCTACTTGAAATGGGTTTAGGGTTTGCACCAATCAACCTTGTTGATGCAGTCGGACAATGGGATTGCCAATAGGTCTTGGCTATTCTTGCTACACATTCTTGACAATATTATCCATTCCAAGTACAATCGGTTGGAAAATAGGTGAATTTAATTGATGAATTTAATATTTATATTAAATTCATAGTCCTTTTGATTATTGCAAATTAAAAGATAATTTTTAATTTAAATATTAGTAGGATAATCACTCTTTTAATAAGTCAATTTAAAAAGATATTTGTTATCTTTTTAATTTTTGAATATTAAAAAATAATTATATAATTTTGTATATTTCAAATTAAAATAATATTTGTTTAAGTTTGAATATTAAAAGAAGTTTAACTTTTGACCATTGCAAATTAAATATAATATTTAATTTAAATATTAGTAGGATAATTACTCTTTGAATATGTCAACTTAAAAAGGTATTTGTTACCTTTTTAACTTTGAATATTAAAGATAATTATATACTTTTGTATATTTCAAATTAAAATAATATCTATTTAAATTTGAATGGTAAACGGAGTTTTATCTTTTGAATATTTCAAATTAAAAGATATTGTTATATGTTTAATGTTGAATATTAAAATATATTTAGTTGAATTAAATCTCTCTTCAAAATCCAATATAAATAATGAGTAAACCTGTTAGGTTTTTAATATTTCACAACTCAGTTTTTCAAGAACTTCTCTTATCTTGAAAAAGCTTTCTTTTCCTTAGTTTTTCCGTGATAGTCGTAGGTAAAGAATGTTCGTGATATGTGTAGATGTGTTATTGTAGCTTATCATTAGTTTTTGTATCTTGGGAGACAAACGACCAACGAACTCGAGCACCAAAGGAGTGTTCGAAAATCTGTCTTAAGGAAACTGTGTAGTGATAGGCATCAACTGTTTCCGATCGATAGATCAAAATAAAAGTAGTATTTTATTTCCATTTATTTTATCTTATCTTCTAAGAAGTTTAACATTTTTGGTTTATTTTTTCAAGATTGATTTTGTCTCAAATTGTTATTTCGGATAATAATCTTAAGATGAGAGTAAATTTATTCTATCTCTTATCCCTTCATTTCCTTTAATTTTATAATGATTTTTATTCATTATTATTTTTCTATATCATTCTCGGATTAACGTTGACGTTTTTTCCAACACAATCTATGCCTTCCTCAATTAGCACTCTTCAATGGAGTCTCCATCTTCCCCAAGGTTTAGATTGTAAATCTTGTTCTTGAATATTGTTCATTACATCCACTTACGATGGTGATTAACCTATTGCAGATGTATTGAACCATGGTTTCTCCTATACGTGTTTCTTTTCCTAGGTGCTTACGGCCAAGATTTCATTGAATATGTCATAGAGGGATCATGTATCAGGAAGTGGTGGAGCAGTCACTGGGATGTGAATGGATATTTTTTTATAGACCGATTGATAAGTATGCTATGCATATGAAATAATGTTTCGCAG